GTGCAGACCCGGTGGTCATCATGCTGGTGCTCCACCCGGACGGGAACCACTGCCTGCTGGGGAGGAAGAAGGTCTTCCCCCCGGGGATGTTCTCCTGCCTGGCCGGATTCGTGGAGCCCGGTAACTCCTCCCCCTCGCCGCCGTCTGTCTGAGCTCTGGGTGATGTCACTAAGCCCCGCCCCCCCCAGGCGAGGCCCTGGAGGACGCGGTGCGGCGGGAGGTGGAGGAGGAGAGCGGCGTGCGCGTGGGGCCCGTCCAGTACGTGTCCTGCCAGCCCTGGCCCATGCCGTCCAGCCTCATGATCGGCTGCCTGGCCGTCGCCACCACCACCGACATCAAAGTGGACCAGGACGAGATCGAGGAGGCCCGCTGGTTCCCACGGCAACAGGTAGAGGCCGCCAACGGGGACCATGCCGATCCAGGAAGGCGCCGCTCGTGGGCGGAGCCAATCCACAAGGGAGCTCAGAAACAAATGAGAGCATGTTAAGGCCACTTAAGAGATCTAAAAATAGAAATACCACTAAAAAATAATAGAACATCTACTTACAATCTCCTAAACATACAGATTTTTCAACATCCAAAGTGACATTTGATCAAATATTCGACTCAACACCCACAGTACATTTCCAACATACTTCGAAGTCATAAAAAAAATATAAAAATTCCATAAAAATAAATAAGCAAAGTTAGTTTAATGTTCATGTAGTGAAAGTCAGAGTAAGTTATGGTATCTGTTGGTTTTTGTGTTTTTTTCCTGTCGATTTGTAAACAAAAGCCAGTTTATATTCCACTAATTCTCTGCTTGTTTTTTTAAAATTAATTTGTATGATTTTTTTGGGAAGCAAGAATAAGTCTATGTTTTTAAAATGTTAAAAACCCTCATTGTTTCCTTTAAGTGGCCCAGGTTGGGATGCTAAACTTTATTATTGGAGGTTACTTGTTGCTCATCGTAACCCCAAACAGGACTTAGACTCTTTTTCAAGTTATTTAAAATTATTCACGAGGAGCTTTAATTCACACTCTGTGACACTTAAAATCAGCTCAGTTGTCTTTTTCTGCCCATTTTGATGTTTCTGTTCTAATTTAGCCTCTCTGGGCTCATTTTAGGACACTTTTTGGTTAATTTCTACATCCTTTTTGGTAATTTTTCCAGTTTTTGTGGTAATTTTATGTGTCTCTGTAGTACTTTAAAGTCTTTTGTCCTTTTCCTGTCAATTTGTTTTAACGAAGACAATGAAAAAAAATGTGAGCAATCTATAAACTTTGATCAGAATCTAAACTTTTCCTCTTTAGGTGATCGACTCCCTGGTCAGAGGGGTCCACGAGGTTTTCACCGCCCCCCCCCAGGCAGACCATCGCCCACCAGCTGATCAAGCACTGGATCAACATGAACTCCAACCTGTGATGCGTTTGGGCGTCGTAGGACAGATCTGTGAGCTCCTGATGGAAACACCTTTCTGTTCAGGAGACTTTAAGGCGTCAGGAGTGATAATAAAACTTTTGTCCCGTCGAACGACGCTCTGCCTCTTCTGTCCACGCCGTGACCCGAAAACCTGCCCAGAGACAAAGATACTGATCCAACAAAACACAGAGTTCATGCAGGAATCCCATAGAAAGGCAGTCAGAGGTCAGAGGTCAGGCACATGGTGATGGGGGGGGGGCTAGTTGAGGTGTAACGCCGAGTCTTTGGGATGCTAACCACCTCACACAGCCACAGAAAGAAGCTAGCTAGCGAGCTAGCTTCATGCTAACTGCAATATTAGCAACAATCTGTCAGTTTTAGTGCTTTCAGTTGTCTTTTTCTGCCCATTTTGAGTGTTTCTGCTCTAATTCAGCCTCTCTGGGCTACTTTAAGGACACTTTGTGGTTTCTTTATGCATCTTTTTGGTGATTTTTGCTGTTTTTATGTCAGAAACAGCTGCTGCTCTTCAAACGAACCACATTTTTAAAGTTTCCTTTTTTAGTGATAAGACAAAGAAAAGCTTAGCAAAATCCAAACAGATCCTCGTTTATTTTTCACCTTTTTTTTCTTCCTCCAAAGCAAAAAATGTTCACCTAATTTTTTTCTTTTTCTTATACAAACAGAAAACAAACAAAACAAAACGTGTTAAAAAATGACGGTGCAGAAAAAGCGGGAGGAGCCAAACGGTGGTGGTGGGGGGGGGGCGTGGGGGGGTGTCAGTCTGAGGGGTTTAAAATGAACCGATCAACACTTTAAACTGGATTTCATGATTCAGAAGTGGAGCTCAAAGCTTTGATGACCTGGTTTAAACAGCTGCTGGGGGTGTGTGGAGGGGGGGGATAAGCCCCGCCCACAGCCCCCCCCCCCCTGTGGGCGGGGCTTAGCTTCATGATTCTGCTCTGGACCCACAGAAGGAAACACCAACAGTTCCTCCCTCTGAGCCCACATCTGGTTTTGTCCCCTGTAGATGCCAGAGACCCGGTCCAGGTCCAGTCCAGGTCCGGGTCGGCCCAGTTCTGCCCCCTTTGTCCATGGGGGGGGTTTAGGGGGGTCACAGGTGGGCCTCTGTGAGTGCAGTCATGATTCCTGGAGGGAGGCAGGAGGGAACAAATCCAAAGCAAAGCTCCCCCTGAGGGGCCTTCAGAGTCCAGAGTCCGGCCCCAACGGACCCGGGTCCACATGGGCCCCACCGGACCCGGCCCAGGTCCAC